GAAAGTCATATCTACCTCACAAAATGTGTTGAGGACTTCTTTGAAGACATTTGAAAATGAGGAATTATCCTGAATTCTGCTGTGCAGAACTTAGCTTAATGTACCTGACTGCCTTGGTGAAGCAAGCACTATAAAAATGAATCATCAATATAATAATATAAATTTAATAAAATATTAAAAAAGGAAATATATGAAGGCTAGTATTAAGATCACTTCGCAGTTTCGGTTTGCTCAGTATATCTTCTTATCTCACACTACTATTTCAAGCAAGAGCTCTCTGTAATTTGAAATATACGTGAGTGTTAATGTGGGTGAGTATAAATACATAAAATAACGAAGTGAAAACACACACACACATGAAATTAAGGATAGATTTATCTTAAGAGTTAAATTCTATCAAAATGAAAACACATTAAAAATAAAATGATTTATTTGTAACTTAATGAGTCCTGTAAATTTCAAATTAATGTAGAGGTACAAATAAATGTGAATCAATAAAAATATATCAATAACAAAGATGTTTTATTAAGTTTTGATTAAGAAATCACTCTAATAGGTATCAATGTTCCCTATCTCTTTGACATTAAGTATATTTCTAAAATGTATCATCACTTATGAACCATATGCTAGATTAGAAAAAGAATATTAAAAAGAAAAAGGTTACTTACTCTTAGCCACTCTACCATATTTTCTTCAATTTCACTATCAGCAGAGATGTCTAATATAAGACGCCGTGTCAAATGGGCTTTGTGATACCTCATAAAAACGTCTTTGTTTTGTACATATTTAAGCACCAAGAGCTGTAAGAAAAAAAATCATTCTCAATTCTATTTAAAAAAATTTTTTTATTTATTTAGATTTTTTTTCCTAATCATTTTATTAGGGGCTCATACACCTTTTATCACAATCCATCCATACATCAATTGTGTAAAGTACATTTGTATATTCATTGCCCTCATCATTCTCAAAACATTTCCTCTCCACTTAAGCCCCTGGCTCTCTCTCAACTGGGTCTCTGTACATCTGCTATTCACCAAAAATCAGAAATTTATGTGGGCATAAAGAGACAGGCCTCCTAAATCACCCATCTTTGAAAATATTCATTGGCATTGTACTGGAAAGTGCAGCATAAATTTGAAACTGTAATCTAATTACAGTTCAATTATAGAAATACCACTTTTCAGGTTTTAAATAAACTGTAATAGTATTTGTAAGTGAAAAGTCAATAGTTCTTCCCCAGTTTTATCTTCTTCACTTCCTTCTGGCACTTACCTTTCTTGGCCTTTTTGTCTGTACCTGTATTTTTGTGTGTGTCTGCATTATATATTTTATCATCACACTATCAGAATTATTGTTAAGAGAATGAAAACAATTACTCTTATTTATGCTATTGCTATTAATTTTTTGCTATCTATCTTGGTTTCTCATAAAAAAAGAGAGTAAAATCTCCTATTCTCCCAACTATAATTCTAAACACCATAAGGCCCATTTTTCTTTATTAGAACCTAAAATTTACATGCTTAAAAATAATTTTAAAAAGAGTTAAATGCTATTTTCTTTCAGGCAACTTTGAGTATATCTATACTGTAGCATTCTTACACGGTATAACTTCCTAACATTAGTTCTTACAGACATACATCTTTCACTGGTCCGTATCATAGAAAGTCATAAGCATAAAACAAATTCAAAGTTAAGGTCATTATAATTTTTGAAATAAAAAAAAATTAGGTACCACTTCTTTAAGTTTTGCTTCAATTTCTTCAGAGGTTAGTTTTTTGCTTAATGGTGTTTTTCTTAGCAACATGTCACAATAATTGGCAAGCAGCTCAGGGCATTTTGATTCCGGCTGTGTTTTCAATCCCACCCTAAAAGGCAAAGTAAAGTAGAGATAAACAATGATGGATATCTATAAATACTTTGTTCTAAGACTCACCTATCACACATTCTATTTTT